ATAGAACTGAAATAGATAGATAGATAGATAGATAGATAGATAGATAGATAGATAAACAGACTGAAATAGATAGATAGATAGATAGATAGATAGATAGATAGATAGATAGATGATAGATTGAAATAGATAGATAGATAGATGAACAGACTGAGATAGATAGATAGATAGATAGATAGATGAACAGACTGAGATAGATAGATAGATAGATAGATAGATAGATAGATAGATAGATTCGGATCGACGACGTGACTAACAAATATGAAACTTAGAGGATGAAACCATATGATTACATACACTAAAAGAAGAAGAAGAAGAAGAAGAAGAAGAAGAAGAAGAAGAAGAAGAAGAAATCTTAAAAGTGCAGTAAGAAAAGAACCGTGTCCAATCTACACATAACCCTATCCAGAATGTTTACTGTTGCGTCGTATTCGTGATGATTCTGTCAACCATTCTTCTGGCCTTGATATAATCCCCTTATTTGTTTAACTATTTCATTCATCACTCTATCTACATCTCTAAATCAATGTCTGTTCGAACACTTCTTCTTCGTCATCTTCTCTTTCTTCTTTTCTCGACCCTTCCCACCTAAAACTTCCTCGTTCTCCTAAAAAGGTCGAACAAATGACGTCATTTACTTCATTGTCGACTCTTAGGCGCCAGGAATGACCTTTTCAATCGATATCTCTCCCGTTTCCCACAGATCAATCAATCGTCGCCGGACGGGAAGTCAGAGACAAGCGAAGAGGTCAAGGCCATACAGTGAAGAGGCTGTGAGGTGACTACGGGCCGATAATGATCGAAGTAGTGAGGGTAGACGTCCGGGTTTGGGGGACAGGTTCCAACCACTTCGTAACTCGTGCTCCCTTTCGCTCACACATTTGCCACGTGTTTGCTTCGTATTTGTTCTCATTTATTTCACGTCATTCGCTTTTTTTCTTTCTCTAAACGCAGAACCCCCACCTCCCCGCTCCGCCCCGCCCGCTCCACTCATTTTTGTTTCGAAAAATATTTTCTTTTTCGCTTCATTCAGTTATTCACGATTTCTTTCCCGTCCAAATTCTTTCTATAGTTTTTTTTTCTTTCTATATTGTCAACACTAATTTCACTTTCTTTGTTTTTCTTCCACCGCAAAGGAAGATATTTTCATTCATTCTACCTTTTCGCCTCCTCTTTCTTGTTTTCTTTCTTTCTTTCTTTCTTTCTTTCTTTATTTATTCATTTCCCTCCTTCTTTCTTTCTTTCTTTCTTTCTTTCTTTCTTTCCCTCCTTCTTTCTTTCTTTCTTTCTTTCCTTCCTTCTTTCTTTCTTTCTTTCTTTCTTTCTTTCTTTCCTTCTTTCTTTGTCATTCATTCATTCAGTATTTTTTCTTGCTTTCCTTCCTTCTTTCTTTCTTTCTTTCTTCTTTCTTTCTTTCTTTCTTTCTTTCTTTCTTTCTTTCTTTCGTTGCCATTCATTTATTCAATCTTTCTTTCTTTGTCATTCATTCAGTCTTTCTTTCTGTCTTTTGTCCTTTCCTCCCTTCCTCCCTCACTTCCTTCCTTCCTTCCTTCCTTGTTTCTTTCTTTCCTTCTTTGTTTCTTTCTTTCCTTCTTTGTTTCTTTCTTTCCTTCTTTCTTTTTACTTAATTTTTATCACTTTACTCTTTTTGTGCCTTTCTTTCTTTCTTTCTTTCTTTTTACTTGTCTTTTATGACTTCTTCCTTTTTCTTTCTTTTAACCTCTTTCTTTCTATTTACCATTTATCTTCTCAGTCTCCTTTTCTTTTCTCCTTCACTGTTTCAACTTTCTTTGCACTGAATCATTTTTGTTAACAATTCCCTTGAAAATTAACTATCTCTTCAGATTTATCAAGTTATCTTCGCCCCTCTCTCTCTCTCTCTCACTGCCTGTCTGCCTGTTTGTCCGCTTCTCTCTCTCTCTCTCTCTCTCTCTCTCTCTCTTTCTCTCTGTATAGAGGAATATATGAGAACTGATAAAAAGTTATCGGTCCAATCAAGGAAAAAAAAATCTGATGTTTGAACATTTGATCAGATTTTTGGGAAGTTGATCGGGCCGAGATCTTTCGGCATCGATATTCACATATCTGCCCTGCTTCACAGTAGTTTCGTATATACGTCTTTCTTTCTTTCTTTCTTTCTTTCTTTCTTTCTTTCTCTCTCTCTCTCTCTCTCTCTCTCTCTCTCTCTCTCTCTGTGTGTTTCGCTCCCTATGTCTGTCAAGCAAGTTCTCTTGTAAACCAAATGTCGGGACATTAATATCCCTGGCCTATCTACTCACTCGTGGAAACTTATTTAAGATCGTTTTATCGTTTTATATAAAAAATATGAGTCCCTATAATGTATGAGTCCCTATAATCTATGAGTCCCTATAAACTTATCTTTGCTTGTATGAATCTTTTTTCTCTCTCCATATATGGGAACACGTTTTCCACTTTGTCATACATCTTCCCCCAAGTTTGTTTTAATAAATAAAAATATATATCGTCATCTCTCATTTATATAGAGAGATAGATAAAATACTTAGTATACACACACATTAAATATATATATATATATATATATATATATATATATATATATATATATACATCAAAGAATCGAATTAGATCCGAATGAGAAAGACGATTGCCTCGCAAGACTTCCTCCTTTCGCGTCGTCCAAATCACCATTCGAGCCATGGCCATCAGCGTCAGAAACACCATCCGTTTCATCCCGGAATACGGGGGCGACATATTGTCACACGCGTATGCGCGATCAATGGACACAAGCTGTTCGGGAGCGAGACGAGCCGTCAGCTCGCCGACATGGTCCCATAAGGGGCGGACCTGGGGCAATGGTAGAAGGCGTGCGCAGCCGTTTCTTCTAAGCCAAGGCCACACCGTTCACAGTCTAGCAAATCCGCCAAGCCCCATATGAAAGCCTTGTCGTTGAGAGGCAGCCGATTCCGAGCCGATCGCCAGCTGCTGAAAACTCAGGGTTACTGAGGTAATCTTGCCGCTGGCGCCCAAGACCAGTAGGAGCGAAACTCCTCCTCCGACATGCCGAGCATATCTCGTAAGGGATCCTTCGCGGGCCTCTCCACTAATTCACGATAGAAGACCTTCCTAGGCCGAGAAAGGTCACTGAACCGGGAACGGCCCTCAAGGCCGACCGACATTCGCGAAGGAAAACCGATTGATCCCGGGGGGTTTACGACCGCGCTCAACCCGCGAGAGGGGGACTGATGGTAAGGCCAGGGAACGCGTCCCTTAACAATCCCCTCCAGAATCGGATCTTCTCCAGTCAATGCGCGGCGTAGGAAAGCCAACCCAGAGGCACGGATGTGACTCGGCAGGTGCGGCATTCCCAGCCCCCATGACACGGACGTTTAGTGCAGACTCGTCTGTCCACCCGATTCCTTGCGTCCCCTCCATAAAATGGAGGATAGCGAGCGCTCGAGCGCCTTCTTGTGGGTCTTACAGAGAGGAAGTACGAACAATCGATAAAGAATCAGGGGGGAAATGTATGTAGCACACACCTCCGCCCTTCACGGACAACCTCCGTCGATTCCAAGTCTGACCGGCGGAATCGACCTTTGCTCATACTTCAGACCAATTTTTCTCCAGCTGGAGGTCGGGCCCAAACCACACTCCAAGAATGCGGACAGGACCGTCTGTCCAACCGAAGCGGCCCGGAAGAGCGACCCCCTTCCAGGCACCTAACCGCAAGCCGGACGACTTGTCGCGGTTTATTTTGGCCCCTATCACCTTCTCGTACCGATCAAGCGCCTTCTGTACCACCTCAATGTCGTTGCGGGACGACACGAAAGCAGATACGTCATCGGCGTACGCGGAAACCCTGGCTCGAGACTCTCCAGGAACGGCAATTCCACGTAGGGCCGGACTGCCGGTCTCGTCCTTCAGCCGGCGAAGGAGAGGCTCCAACGCCAAAGCATAAAGAAGAGGCGACAGCGGACAACCCTGACGAACCGACCTAGACAGCACGAACGCGTCCGACAACCTTCCGTTCACCTGTACCACCGCACTGGGGGAGGGATACAGGAGGCTAATCCAGCGGCAGAAGTTGGGTGCGAATCCAGCGGTCTGCAGGACAGCAGCAAGGTAGCGATGGTCGACCCTATCAAATGCCTTGGACTGATCCAAATTGATCAGCGCGGCTTCTTCGTCGTCTTTACACCTCTATGATCGTGCGGATCAGATGCAGGTTGCTCTGACTTGTTCGGCCCCTCACAGAACAAGTCTGCTCAGGTCCCAACATAGACTCGGCAACTGACTGCAAACGCTCCTGCAGGAGCTTGGCCATAATCTTTAACTCTGTGTTTAGCAGAGTTATGGGCCTGTAATCATCTAGCTTCCCCCACCACCTTTTGCCCTTTTTCAACAGAGTGATCACACCCTGGTGATCCGGTTGGGATGGACCCCTGACCGAAACCAGTTGTTGAACACTGCAGTCAAAATTGGAACAAAGATGTGCGACAGCCTCAAGTACAATTCATAAGGCAAACCATCCAGACCGGGCGACTTGCCTCTGCCGACCTTCTTCAAAACCGCGTAGACTTCGCCCTCCGTCATCTCTCTCTCGCAGCTAGCCGCTTCAGTCGGCGAAAGCCGAGGAAAGTCAGCCAAATAGCTACGAAACTCCTCCTCACGAAGACCAGGCTCCTTGGTAAACCGGTTCTCGAAATGGCGCCGAAACGCCTCGCACATGTCGTCAGTGGCCCGAAGTGTACGCCCCTCCGGGGATTTGACTTCACGAATGTAACGATCGCCACCTCGACGGACCTCTTCCCTGCGCAGATCTGCGCCCAAGTTCACGGCTACGGAAGACATCTTTCTTAACTTATGTCTAATTACCTGACCCATGAACCGCTCGCTATTCGATCGATCCAGGGCCTCCTTAGCTAAGGCTATCTCTAGGGGATCCCCCCCAGCCACCGCCCGGGAATAACTAGCTTTAAGCGTCTTCACCTTTTCAGCTCTATCTAGAGTGAGCCTTTTGCTGAAATCAGTGGTGAAGGACCTAATCCTACATTTAAGGCGTTCCCACCATCTATTCCCGATAACCGCCCCCACTAGCTCCCGCTGCACGTCTAATTATCTGCTCCTGGAAGTCCCGCCTGTCCAGTAAAGACAGATTGAACTTCCAGTACCCAGCCATTCTAGGCCTATTGTCTAACGCTACCCGTGCACAAACGAGTTTGTGATCCGAATAGCCTACCCAGTGGAACGTAGGGCAATCTAGTAGTTCTATGTCGGCTCTTCTCACTAACATTCTGCCAAGGTAGCTAACCACCTTGTCAAAAGGCCAATTAAGAGCCCACGTCCACATTTTTTCCTTGGGATGATCGACCCGGTATCTATCGATGAGACCATAATCGTCGATCAGATCGACCAGGCTGCGATCGCCCCCTCTCCCGCTAGCACCCCGCCCCCTTTCTAACTTGGAGTCCAGGATGGCATTCCAGTCCCCCATTAAAACTAGGCGCGTTGAATCCACCAGGAACGGCCCCAACCGCCGAAAGAACGAGACCCGCTCCCCCTGGTCATTGGGCGTATAAACCGCAACGACCCGGAACGAACCACTTTTCACGGCAATATCGGCCCTCTGCATCGGTATGCACAAGGTCCACCTTCGCATCGAGAGTACGTCTGACAAGCAAAGAAACACCTCTGGCAGCTCGGTCCCCATATGCTGAATAAAGTCATCCTCCAGCACACACGCATCGGAACTGCAAACAAAGTGAGTCTCTTCGGCGACATCCACATCAAATGACAACAGGTCCCGGAGCAGGCGGGCAGCCTTACCCCGATCCCTCAAGCCATTCACATTCAGTGTAGCTAACTTAATTGCCATCGTCTAGGCCTGCAAAAAGAAAAAAAGAATAAGCACAAAAACCTTATACACATACGGGGTGGAAATCTGCGTTGAGCAGGACCCCGACGGATTGTCCCAGACTACCAGTGCCCAATTCAGTCGTCATACGACCGCCCAGGACAATACCGCCGACGTCAATAGGGTACATTAATTTAATAGCCCTATATAAGGAGGGGTGAACTAAAACCGGGACCCTAAGCAAATATATGGATATAGAACCGACAGTATGAAGAAAAATATGCATATATATATACATATATATAATTAATACAAATATAAAATTTGTCACTTAGCTGACTGATGTTTGCTTTAGCATCCCGATACATACATACATACATACATATATATATATATATATATATATATATATATATATATATATATATATATATATAGTATGAATCCAACAAATGGAAGCACCTATAGAAAGTTGATTTTTGAATTTTGACCAAGACAATTGAGTAACAGAATTCGTTTATTAATACAGGTCTACATATGTAAATTATACAAAACAAGGAATGATTAAGCATTTTGTGGGGTTACCATTTGCTTTAATGATTCACAACTCTTCCAGTGGCCTAGTCAGCGTTGAAAACCTTTGGGTGATAATGTATAAGTGTGCCCGTAATAGAAGAGCTTTTTCGCGAATTAAAAAAATGCTGGAAAAATCTGGCGATGGACGTTGATTTACCAAAGAATTTAGTGTGTAGCATGCCACGATTATGAAATTTGCCGACAGAATGAGTTCAATACCGTATGGTTATTATGCAAATTATTTCTTAAATGGGTGGTCACATGACTGGTCATTAATGTATTATGTAGTGTAATAACTGAGCATTTTTATACAATTAATTCGCTATGGGAAAGCGCCCAGAGACTTGATCAAAAATAGTGTTACTTCATCAACAAAACGTTAAAGCGCAGCAAAACGGTTTTTGTTTAAACTTGGAAGCTTGACCAGGATACTGGAAAATATAAGGATAGGCAAAGATCGGGAGCCCCAAGAAAAACAACAGTGCAACTGGATAGACGAATTAATAGGTTTTCCCATGTTAATCGAATGCTGAAGGCCGTGGACATTTGCAGCCAATTATCTGGTAAAACTGGCGTTAGTTTTACGCTGCAAACTGCCCGAAACCGTCTAAGAGAATTTGGATTATTCGGGCGCATTGCTAGAAAAAAAGTCAGTTATTTCGGAGAGGAATCGACTCAAGCGGCTAATTTCCGTGAAAAGTCGCATTCAATGAACGGCCGACGACTGGTGTAGAGTTCTTTGGAGTAACAAGTGACACTTTTGCATCTTTGGATCAGATGGAAAAACCTTTGTTAGACACTATCCAATCGAGGAATTCCATCCTAAATGTGTCAAAAAGATGGCGCAAGCAAGAGGTTGGGTTTTAATGGAGTGGAATGCTTTTGGTATTGGTCCATTTGTTAAAGTTGATGATTTATACGCAGCTAGTTAAGGAATATATTCTGCCAATTAGACTGATCAAATGCTACCTGGAGCTATTTATTAACAAGATTCAAAAAGCCAAAAACTAATGTAATTTTTTATCGCCATAATATGGAGGTTATTGAATGACCTTCACAGAGTCTGGATCTTAATTCAATTGAAAATTTACGGAATTATATTTCTGAAAGAGTTCACGCTAAAAAAAACGACAAATTTAGCCCAATTATATGATTATATTCAGCAAATATGGCAGAACATTCCAAATGATTTTTGCGCTCACTCATCAGGCCCAATGCCTAGGTGATGTGTAGTTATAATTTATAATAAAGGTTACAACACTAAATATTGATAAATATCTTGTTTGTTTTTTTGCTCATTTTTACTATAACATTTTGCTTTAAATATAATATCCTTGCGGTCTTAAATTTATTTTGCCAGCAAATTTGGATAATTTAAATTAATCCAGCATTAAAATTTTTCAAGTTGTATAATAATATACAATTTTTACATCATTCGAAATGGACAAAATTTCTGCATAAAGCGTACACAATAAAAATATTTTATATTTTTATATTAGAAACATGAATAAAACTTAACTCTCAGTCTTAAAAATCATTTTCACCAGTTTGTATATATATATATATATATATATATATATATATATATATATATATATATGCTAAGGACTTTGGATAAGTGAAATTACCTCCTCATCACGATAGCAACATCAACCTTCCATAGTCATATTCTATCTTTTTTTAAAAAAAAAACAAACGGTAATTTATAATTAAGAAAAACCTTCAAAAGACTAAACAATCAACTTGCATATTTTCCCTACCAAGTTCTCCATTTAGTTATGTGGCACAATAATAATATCCCGTATTTTATTCACTTTTCCTCATGTCTTTACACTTTTTCTTTAATGAGGACTAACAGTCTGTATAACGTCACGCTACTCAAAAGAAAATTACTTGTAGATAATACTATTATTTTAAAAACATCTAATTGTAAAATACGTTTAAAGACAATGGAAGCACTTTTTCCAAAACAGAATATCGACGAACTCTCAATATTAGTTGTATCTTTATGAATTTAAGCGCAGTGTTAGATAGGCAAAAATGTCTCATCATTTTACAGTTGAACTGGTTAGATATAACCTTAATTTCTATACAAACATTTTCATTTCTCGTCCTCCCTTTTTTAGAACTCATTTCGGGCTCCATACTTTCCCGCCAACTTTAATCTTCAAAAATTTAAATGCAATGTCAGTCGCTATCTACTTTCTTCCTCATTACTCTTCTTTAATTTGTCGCTCCTTAGTAATGTTGCTGTTGTCTAATTCTTCCACACCCAATAACTCCTTGTGTCTTAGTGGCTTAATGCTTTGCTTGGGGTGAACATGTATTTGGACAGCAATGTTTATTTTATATATGTTTAATTAAATGTGACAGACAAGGGAAATATTGTAAGTCTTTTTATATTAAGTTTTTCTCGTGAAGAAAATATTAAATAAAGTCGTGTCATGATGATTATAAAGAAACGGGAAATTGTGATGACTTATATGAAGGTGGGAAGAAATTGAAAAAAAAAAAAAAAATAACAGAAAATTTAGAAGAACGTTGCGAAATTGAATTTGGCAAAAATGCATGTGAAACAAAAACAAAATCAAAAATCGGAAAGATATTGGTCCTGCGAGGCGAAAGAGGTTATTTTTTTTTTGTTTTCTTCCTTTTCGGCATCACAATTGCACATCCGACCGCACCCATACCTATCGCTACCTCCGTTCACCATTTCCTTCCTACCCTCCTTACTTCCTGCCTGCTTTCGTCATTTTGCTTGGCACCGATTGCCAATGTCGGCTCGTGATTTCTCTTGTCTTTGATGTACTCAATCGCTCCACACGCACGACATAACTTCAACACGCAGAGAAAGAAAAAAAACACACACACACACAAACACACACACGCACACACACAAACACACACACGCACACACATTTACTGATAATGGCGTCCACCACAACATGGCGGCCCAGCAGACGCAACAGCTCTAAGGTAATGGCTAATCAGAAAATAAGAAATAGTTCTTCGTGAACGATCGACGTACAAGAAGAGTTGTTATTCAGAAGGGTTCAGGAAGTTGCTTCTCAGGTTATTCATACATATAATCTTGGTGTAGAGGGGGTGCTGTTAAAAATACGACATAAATGGAAAACATTATTTACAGTCGGCAAAAAAGTGTGACTGCTGGAGGAAGAAATTCTATGATGGACAGAAAGCGAAAAGCAGTGGAAACGTAAATACATTTTTGACTTAAATTGTTTCATTATTTACACTATTTATATTCGGATAATTTTCCTCATCTTTGTTGTTTACATAACAACGTTTCGACCGTTGTGGCCACCGGCTTTCTTCAGGCGTGGCAACATACTGAACTGAACCCTTTATTTTATTTATGGGGCAGGGTACAACGGCCAAAACGCTGTGATAAAAACAACAAAGATTACGACAACTGTTCGAATATAACTAGTATAAATAATGATAACACTTTCTCCCAGCAATTCAGATTCAGAATTGTTTTTCAATTTTCATTTACCATATGAATATTATATCAACGCATTCATTTTTATGAACCCCGCCATTTTAAAATGATTTCACAGACAACCGCCATCGCCACAAACATAAATACAAAAATATGGATGGAAAGTTGCGAGTTGGGGAAATGGTTACTCGCGTAAAAGTAGTGAAATGAATTCGAATTTTACTGTTTATATTTAAATGACGAATGTACAAGTGGTGTAATGGTTAACGATTCGGATTGAGAAATCGTAGAGCCAGTTTCAATTTCGTTATATTCACTTTGGTGCAAAAAAAAAAAAAAACATCGAGAAAGTTATAAATCCATCTTTTCTGCACCCATCTATGGATTAAATAGCAGGGTAGACTGTTCTAGCCGTGGTTGGCAACCAATCAAGGTTAATGACGACACCGAATTAAAAACCGTATGGATCACTAGCATAGGAGATATGCATTCATCAACAAGGTCATCAAGTTCACAAGGAATCTATAAACTTGAAGGCGTAGATATATTATTATTGTTTTATTTCCTTTGATTTCTGGTATGTACTCATTTCTTTCAAAGGTCAGAAATGGCATCATGACATTTTCCACTGAGCAATTAAAAAAACAAAAAACAAAAAAACACATAATTTACATAGATAAAGCCCGTCGTAAGGTGGACACTGTGATTGGTAGAATAATTTTTTATATTGCTTTAAGGCATGGGCTACTAAGAATCCCCTTATTATTATTATTTATTATTATTAAGTCGAAGATAATCTTGAGAAAGCATGTGTTCATTTCTCCATGCACTCATTTTTTTACGGCTAATCAACCCTTTTCAGGTTAATTAAAGCCAGAAAATATTTTTAGATTGTAAGAACTTTCTTATCGATAATAATGATTTAGCTATATTTAAAAATTAACCCAGAGCTGGTGGTGACAAGAGGTCAATACATACCTTTTCCAAAAGTATTTGCGCGTAAGTGAGTAAAATGAACCTTACTGGAACTGGAACTCGGTTCTACGATTAACAATTCCGACCCATTCTCTATTACACCATCCGTACACCCGCACAGCAAAGCTTACATCACCTGGTGATTCTAAGCGGTCACCCATCTAGGTACTGACTAGGTTCGACGTTGCTTAAATTCACTGATCGTTTCGGAACAAGTGTTTCAGTGTGATATTACCATAAGCCACCCATGATCAGATAGTTTGACAAAATATCTTTTACTGCCTTTCTGGAAATGACATCTGGACACTGCAGTTTTCGTTGAGGCCATTTTGATGCGAGGATGAAGTGTACAGTTAGAGTTGTGCATTCTAGCACACAGAAAACAAGGTTCATATAAAGATCCACATGTCCTTGCCAGTTTTAAACTTTTCCATTTCACTTTAGAAGTTTTATTTTCATCTTTCAACCTCCAAAAATATTTTGAAAGTGAAGTATTATTTCTATAAGTATTATTAGTAAAAGACGATATATGTTGATACCACCGGGTTTTGAAAGAATTCTTAGTACTACGAATATAGAACTTTTCAACCCTCAGATTTTCCATTGTAGAGATAGAACAAAGATACACAAGAGATTTAGTTAAACATTTGTTTGAAAATGGGCATTGTTTAGGATTCCTACAATTACATTGGTCTGTATCCTTAATGATATTTTCATTGGTACTAGTGTTATGATTAAGATTATTAAATTGGTTTAGAGTTCTAGTGATATGCAACTTGATGATTTTCTTGAGATTATTGGTGCAACTCTTAGTTTTAATGTATTTCTATTAAATATTTTACTAATAGGGTTGCTTTTCGGAAACCAATTTGAGAAATTTATGACCTAACTTAGTACCTATTAATTGATTAAAAGGTGGGGGTGGGTACCAGGTGATCTTCCGATTCCTATTTCTTTTCTTTGAATTGCAGTCATCATATTTTCTAAACTGAATTTCAGCACACTTATACCCGATATTCTTTAGAAATTTATTGTACACACTGCTACGTTTCTCAAACACATCTTTGATAAGCTATTGCTAATCCTACATTCTACAGAGGGATGAATATACGTAAAAATGGTGTATATATGAGAGAGAAACAGGGAGAGAGAGAGGAACAAACAAGGAGAGAGAAAGAGGAACAAACATGGAAAGAGAAAGAGGAACAAACAGGGAGAGAGAGAGAGGAACAAACATGGAAAGAGAAAGAGGAACAAACAGGAAGAAAGAGAGAGGAACAAACAGAGAGAGAGAGAGAGGAACAAACGGGGAGAGAAAGAGGAACAAACAGGGAGAGAGAGAGGAACAAACATGAAGAGAGAGAGAGAGAGAGAAAGAGGACAAACATGGAGAGAGAGGGAGAGAAAGAGGACAAACATGGAGAGAGAGGGAGAGAAAGAGGAACAAATAGGGAGAGATAGAGAGGAACAAACATGGAGGGAGTGAGGAACAAACATGGAGAGAGAGGAACAAACATGAAAAGAGAAAGAGAGAGAGAGGAACAAACATGAAGAGAGAGAGAGAGGAACAAACATGGAGAGAGAGAGAGGAACAAACATGGAGAAACATGGAAACATGAAAAGAGGAAACAAACATGGAGAGAGAAAGAGGAACAAACAGGGATAGAGAGGAACAAACAGGGAGAGAGAGAGGAACAAACATGGAAAGAGAAAGAGAAACAAACAGGGAGAGAGAGGAACAAACAGGAAGAGAGAGAGGAAAAAAATATGGAAAGAGAAAGAGGAACAAACATGGAGAGAGAGAGGAACAAACATGGAGAGAGAAAGAGGAACAAACAGGGAGAGAGAGGAACAAACATGGAGAGAGAAAGAGGAACAAACAGGGAGAGAGAGAGGAACAAACATGAAGAGAGAGAGGGACAATCAGGGAGAGAGAGAGGAACAAACATGAAAAGAGAGAGAGAGAGAGGAACAAACATGAAGAGAGAGAGAGAGAGAAAGAGGACAAACATGGAGAGAGAGAGAGAGAGAAAGAGGAACAAACAGGGAGAGATAGAGAGGAACAAACATGGAGAGAGAGAGAGAGAGGAACAAACATAGAGAGAGAGGAACAATCATGAAGAGAGAAAGAGAGAGAAAGGAACAAACATGAAGAGAGAGAGAGAAAGGGACAAACATGGAGAGAGAGAGAGAGAAACATTGTCTTGAGATTACCTACTTGGAGTGATGATATCTGGACTTCTCATTTGCTGTACCAAAAATTGAAAAAGTTTATATGTGAAGAACTCAGCCCAGACTAACCATACACAAAGTAGACTGAAATGTTTCTACTCGCTTCACTAATATAAAGGGTCTACAGTCCAACTGTCTAGAAGCTGTACACGATCAAGAGGCCTAGGGTGACATCCTATTCGTATCCGAAACCGGAGTTGTGGAATCGGAAGCAAATAAGGGATCCCTGAAGTCGGAATCGAAGTCGGTAAAGCTATACCGACTCCGACTCCGACAGATTCGATAAATGTATAAAGTCCCTTTAATTTAACACATTTACGGAATCCATTTATCACGGTAATGGAGACTTTTCTTTATTAGGGACAAATTCATGTAACACCGTTTCTTTGTTTTTATCTCTCGTTCTTGCTGAGACGTCTTTTTGTTGTTAATTGTTTTTTTCTTTTTTTTTCCCCCTCTTTGTTTATTATGGCATAGATTATGCTTTGTATTCCCAGTTGATTTGTTTTATTATTTTAGATTATTATTACTATTTTAACACATTTGTTATAAAGAGCTGTAAGTGGATTTCAAGACTGCTTGAATTATGAAAATATTCCAAACGGTTGAAAAGTTCATTTAAAGCTCTGAAATTTGGGGTTCAAAATGGACATTTTTTTACACAAAAATCACGGACTAATTCACAAGACATTCAGTAATTTCTTCACCATTTCTTTTTGGTTCAATTTTAATAAAACCGAGGATTATACCAACGCAAATTTTATTTTTAACTCAATTATAACGGTACGCGTGTCGCATATTTTTACTACTGTTAATATTTTTATTTTTAATCAAACAAAAAAATAAAAACAAAAAATATATAAAAAAACAAACGTGCTTTTTATTTTCAAATCTGTTTTTAAAATAAAATAAAAAATATGTATTAAAAAGTTTTCAACAGTTTGTAGCATTACGAAATTTTGCCACCAAAAATGACAGGAAAGAAAAAGAAAAGAAAACAGATTCAAATAAATAAACAGCTCCGGGTAGATTTATTTGTAAAATCCTTACATTTTTAGTTCTGTTGCTTCTATATGGTTTCAAAAATGTCTCAATTCTGTTAGAGAATATTAACGAATGAACATCATTTACATTATTCGGACTATTGTCTTCATCTCACTGGATCTAACCAACGACTTTATCCACTGTGCCAAGTGTCCTTGAGGCGTTGGTTAGATCCAGTGACAGGACCCAAAGAGTGTGAGTTCAATACCCGGGTAAGGCAGTGGACAAATTTCAGAGGGAAATTAACAGGGGATAACTGATAACTGGCATCCATTAAACACGGCATGTGGAACTAGAACAGTCTACCCCAGTGAGCGAAATAAAGGGTCCAGTTCGATATTCCAACCACCTGAAGAAGGCCGGAGCGTACAACGGCCGAAACGTTGTAATAAATATGGCGACAAAGATGAGGACAATAGTCGGAATAATGTAAATAATGTACATAATAACTCATCTCAGAAATATAGACAGATAATTAAAGAATGAATTGGGATGATATTCAAAAGCCATATATCCTTATTCTTTGATATAAACCAGTTATAATAATACCTGTTACTCAAGTTAGAAGTGCATGCATAGACTTTATGAGATATGTAAGCCAGAATTACTTAATTACAAATAGAGGAATCGGAGATTTTGTGTTCTGATTCTGCAGAAACTGGACTCAATCAGTTTATCCCAGTTCAAGACTTCACGATTCCAAGATAACACCTCTACTCACAAAAAATGATACTCTAAATAAGCATGGCCATGTGCTTGAGGCCTATATAAAGGATGTGTTCTTCGACAGTGAACCCTAAAACGAGTCTCCTTATTCATGTACTTGCTGGTGACCCTCGTTTTTAACATGTCCTTCGTTTTCGCGGTTTTTCAAGTTGATACTATTTAAACTGACACAATAGCGAAGAAGATTGATGATATCCTTAACGCTCATCTATCATCTACGACTCAGATTTGTGAATTCAACATTAACCACAAGGAGTGACCAGTCCACTGAAACAAATACTGTTATAGCGATTGCTATGTATTTCACACCCACATGCACTCCAAGTCATTTTATTCGTCTGCGATTGGCTAATAAATTACTACTACCTTTGTATAGGACAATTTAGCCATCGCAGTCGTTCCTTTGAATCTTTTGGTTCTGAGCATACTAACCTGTTCTGTTTAGTACGAGAGTAGTGATTTTTAATTTTTAACCAATCACATATTTTTAATGTAAGAACAAGTTTTCCCGCGGTTGCATGGGAGCCTACTTTTTTTCCTTAAAAGGTGTGTCTTTTCGCAAGTCGCCAGTAAGATCCAGTAAGATTCCAGCCGTCAACACAAATCCACGATTTTGCTCAACGCACACAGATACAGAATTTCGTAACTATAAACTTACATTTTCTCTCTGTAACTTTTGCCAAGCACAATCAACCAGAACTTTGTTGATTCAAACCAGTTTATCCACATCAGATTTCAAGCATTTGTATTCTTGGTGTCATTCATTCTTCATATGCAAACTTTGCTCTAACAATTATTTCGGAACATTTATCTCGCAAGAGAACTTTCTTCAAACAGTTGATTACAATCAATCTACAGTCAAAGGGAAAGAACTTCCTTCTCTTTAATCTACATTGTGAATACGATTTTATTTCATGCTTGTATTTTATTCAATATATATTTGTTGGTTAACAAATTGGAGTTGTTATTATTTCTTGAATCCTCTACGTTGAAGTATCATTAAAATAAACACTGAGTCGCTATACTGTCATGGTTTCTCCTTAACTACCAAGCTGACCCAGATTGTAGCCAAGCTTTCTCGTGTTCCTCATACAGTATAACAGCATGCTAACCTACAAGACTTTTTTTTCTCATGTCCCGATCAATGTTCTGTAGATATTTTGTCCCCTTTGGCAACCTCAAGGTTGATTCAAACCAAAGACTTCCTCATAGGACAATCTATCGGTATAACAAAGTTGATTGAGACAATCTTATATAGTACATTGCAGAAGGTCTCTTCAAAAACGGACCTTCCAAGACAGACTCCTATACTGAAAACTTTATTCCTCACCAAAAAAATACCAGCAAAAGTCAAATGAGCAGCCGTGGTTCACTCGTGCTGCGTTCTTGTCCAAATGTTTGTGATTGACTGCTTTTAACCATACTTCTGCCCAGTTTCAAAATCTAGAATTATGCAGTCTTTTTTCACATACTTGTAAAATTCATCGTTGGCTATTATACAATTATATATTAGATTTTGAAGCGTTTAAAACCGCAGTTACAACATTTAAGGGGAATTGATTCCGTTTTGGATAATTGGATTTTACTGATCTGATCGTAGACTGCATCAATATGACTGCAGATTAACTCTCATATCAGTATGTAGCTCTCACGGCAATAAGGCAATAACTAACATAAGAACTGAGTATTTTAAAGAAGGATACATAAAAGTAAACATAAAAAAACGTATATAATAATAATACTTGGCTATTTTCGAGGATACCCGTCTATTAGGGCGGTTAGCCAATCCCTGCTGCAGACGCTCATTCAGGCACATTTGAGTTTATTCAACACTCAGAGCCTACCTGTGGTTTATACTGAAACTATGCTGAGCAGACCTTAGTTACAGTGTCTGGGAAAAAGCGTGTTATCTAACGTGATCAACAATCTGATCAAGGCCAGCACACTCAAACCCTCAGCCATGATGAATTTGAATATTTCGGTAGCATCTATCTATCTATCTATCTATCTATCTATCTATCTATCTATCTATCTATCAGTTTGTTCATATCTATCTCACTTTTTTCATATCTATCTATCTATCTATCTATCTGTTCATATCTATCTTTCTATCTCAGTCTGTTCATATCTATCTATCTATCTATCTATCTATCTCAGTCTGTTCATATCTATAAATAATCTGAGTAAAGCGGATGTACTTTCTTTGAAAACGGTAAATAGAACCTGAAGAGTGACGTTCTTCGTGGCCAACAGGTAAAGTACGCCAGATCAAACGGTGGCTCCCCACAGGAAGTGGTACGCAGGTTCGATCCTGTGGTTTATAATGCAACAATGCTGAGTTATAGTTTTGGGGAGAGAGCGTGTTATCTAACGTGATCAACAATCTGATCAAGGCCAGCACATTCAAACCCTCGGTCACGATGACTTGTGACTTCATGCTAGCACAGCTATCGACGAAAGCGTACCGTCTACCAAATGTTACTCACAAGGCTTGGGTCAACCGGTGGTATGCTTTTCTGGTACTTTCAAAGGTGCAGCACGCTGGGATCACCCCCTCCCCGAGGCCGATAACATTGGGAAGTCTCATTCCTGACAAATCGACCATAGTGACGTTCTAATCACTCTGCCACGTGCCTATATATATATATATATATATATATATATAAATCCAAAGGTTATTATACTGGATACTCTTGAGTGGGCTAAGACTATCATAATATCATATAGTAGTTTCTTTTCATGGCTTCACGATGAGGCGTTCCATCATAAAGGCAGGAACATCTGGTGGTCTGCGGTTCTATTATGTCAGTGATTACGCTAAAGTCTCTATGGCGCTGGCACTCCGAGAATGTCAGTCAGCTAGGTCGGCTAGCTAATCCCCATTTGGAGACGCCTGCTCAGGCACATTTGTGTTTGTTCAACTCCCACACAGCCCACCTGTTGATTATACTGCTACTACGCCTTGCAGTCTTTAGTTACAGTTTCTGTATGCGTGACCAGCAGCCTGAACAAGGCTAGCATGCTCAAAACCTCGGTCACGATGACTTGTGATTTCGTGCTAGCACAGCTATCAACCCTCTCCAATTTCACTCATATGGCTTGGGACAAACCGTGGTATGGTTTTTAGGCACTTTTCAAAGGTGGGATCGTCCCACTCCAGACCGATAATATCAGTAACTCTTCTTCCTGAGGAATCAGCTGGGGTGAGATTCGAACCAGGATATCATGGTTAGAAAGCGAAAGTTCTAACCACTCAACCACGCACCCATATCATATATACTATAAAGTCTAAAAACCGACCCTAAATATTAGTAAGTTGAAACCATAAGCAATCAGCTTATTGTAAAGTATCTACTATTCACTGGTTATTATAATTATTTTCAAAAGCCGGATATTTTTGTTGTTTCCCAAAAGAAGATTCACTCTAGAAGGATTATTTTTTTCTCTTGACGAATGGTGAGATCACAAATCCAACTGGCTGAAATAACCAAAAATTGATGCAAATGATTTTCGACGCTTGAATTGGATATTTTGAGAATTTTGGCTAATTTTACGTAAAGTGCAATTAATAGAGTGTCATTAATAAACATTTATTAAGACATATTTTACAAGAACCTTTAAGGAAAATTCAAGTCGATAACAAAAACCATTTTTAATCGCATAGATATAGATATCTGATTCTTAGGGAAGCATTATTGATTAAATATCCTTTTCCCGCTTACAAATTTTACACTGTTTAGCAGTGGTGACGGCGTGTTAAAGGTTTTCTAAAAATAGAAGTGATGTCCAGGTTATCCAGTCGTGCTTAATACGTGACTGTCGTGAAAGCCATACACACTTTCACAGACCTCTACACAGCTAAGCAACTACTCTGTAGATGACAACACATAAAACTCAGCATGCAAGAACAACATTCTTGATAATGATTATAAAAGTAGCTGAAAGCGCTTGGAATAATAAGAAATAATGAACAATTTTTATGCTCTTTAACGCCTGAAAAATGTTAGAAATCGGAAAAAACACACTGAAAGATTAATTAAACCTTCCTTGTCGACCGTTTTCAATGAAAGAAGCTTCAAAGAAAGGCTGCTGCCCAAATATATATTCAAAGACAAAACTCCATATAAACATATGACCGCAAATCCTTCGTTTTTCAGTTATTAAGTTTAAAGTTTGTGGTAGACACTGTTAAATGTACAATCCAAGATACAATCTCAAAATTTTGGAGCCGGTTCCTGACAATAAAACAAGATAAATTCTCTACATAAACATGCCCAATCGTTGTATCTCAACACAGCAACCCATAGCAAATGTTCAAAATATCCTTCACTTGCTTCTACACATGCATGCACCCGTCAGATCATTGATTGGCGGGCCCTTTCAAAAAATCCCACACAGTGTCTAATGGTTTCACAGGTCTCCATAACACGTTGATAAAGCCTCACTGTATTATTAATGTCTGATGCATGAATTTTAGGTGGCCTTACAATTAAAAATTCAAATGATAGAGGTCGATAAAACGTGCAGGCCATGGAATCGGTCTATAGGAATGCATCTTTCATGGTAGATGTCAGCCAATGCATTGCGAAAAAAATGATTAAAATGTTCTGGAGCCCTATCATACATGGACCACATGTTTCTTTGTATGAGCAGGAGTACATCCTCTAGCAGGTCCAGAAGTGTGTGCGAAATAATTTTTTCTTTTAAAGTTCCTGTATACAGATCCTGTAAGTTGTGTTAGGGGAACATATAAACCTACCAGACAATTCCAACCCACACATTAATTTTAAACTGATGTTGATGTATAGCCTTTATTGTACCATGGACATTTCAATCTGCCCAAAAATGTTGGCTGTGTAAATTTGTTATTCCATCTCTTCCAAATATTGCCTCATCCGTAAACAAGACTGAAGAGATAAACAACGGATCGGCAGTTTGTATAATTGACCACCGGCAAAAGTTCTCCAATGGTGAGTGATCAGAAGGAGAAAGACTTTGTACACGTTCCAAATGACACTGATAGAGAAGCTGCTCTTGAAGTGCCCTACATGTGGTATTATGAGATGTACGACATGCTAGGGCCAATTGACGGGTGCTGATACCTGTTTTATTTTTTCTTTTAAATGCCAACTATATAATACTATTTGGCTTATAAATTAGAGCAAACCAATTTTTTTCTAAGTTTATTCTCAGCCTCGTTGAAAATGGAACTGAAGTTGAAATTGTAAGTTTAATTTCAGATATAAGTTTTGGTGTTGAAACATAGGAATTTCTCTGTCGCGATGGCAACACTTTTTTAAAAAATGATTTTGATATTATGGACTATTGTGTATCGAGAACTGTTTTTTTTTTTTTTAAAATAAATGCTAAAGAACTCTGGATAATAAATCTAACTGTTATTTCTTTCTTTTGATATATATATATATATATATATATATATATATATATATGTATATATATATATGTGTGTGTGTGTGTGTGTGTGTGTGTGTGTGTGTGTGTGTGTGTGTGTGCGTATATATATATATATATTCGCTTAAATATGATACATATGTCTTCTCTCTCTCTCTCTCTATATATATATATATATATATATATATAGATAGATAGATAGATAGATAGATAGATAGATAGATAGATAGATAGATAGTGGGGGTAAAGGTAAAGCCAGGAGAGAGGACATTTAACAGTGATAGCGTCGTTATATGTATATATATATATATATATATATATATATATATAGAGAGAGAGAGAGAGAGAGAGAGATGTGACTATATACGAAAGGGAGAGAATATGAAACAGAGGAGCAAAATTACTAATTATGTGTGTGTGTGTGTGTGTGTGTGTGTGTGTGTGTGTGTGTGTGTGTGTGTGTGTGTACGGTGGTGTCAGTGGATTTGGCGGTGTCGTTCCATATTTCTTCATGCATGTCATGAGCAATAGCGATGCAAGTTAGAGGGTGGAGGTTACTTCTGTTCGCCATCCCCATCTTCCGGAAAGAAAAGGACAAAAAATGGTGCACTCACCCTATAAGTTCATCAAGTGCTTTCTGATAACATTTTCCCATTCCGATTTTTCTTCTTTCCGTCAACAAGATTCTTGACTTTAATTCATGCAACAGCGTGCGTGATATCTATCTATCTATCTATCTATCTATCTATCTATCCTTCTCTCTCTGTCTCTCTCTATATATATATATATATATATATATATATATATATATATATATATATATTTTTTTATAATTGGAATTAAGATACCTTTAGTTACTTACCATTTAGACATACGAATTTTAAAATTAAAATTCTTAGGTGAACATTGTCATTAACTAAAGGTATCTTAATTCCATTTGTAAAGAAAATTTTGCTCTGTTTCATGAAAATAAACATTGAGTGCTCTTTTGTGAGTCAGTTTTAACATATTTCAAATTCATAGACATTTTTTTATGTTTATACGTTATTTTTATAGATGCAAATATTTAAGTAAATGCTCTGCTTATAATAAACAGTATTAACGAGATTTACGGCCCTGAATGTTCGAGAAATTTAAAAAGTTTTTAATTATCTTAAAATAATTGTTGGACTTTGTCCATTTCATAATGTGTAACGTCATTTGTTTATATTTGGATACGCATCGAGCAGATATGAATGTACGATAAAAAAACACGGAGAATTGTAGTTTAAAAACAGTAAAATCAACCTTGCTAACTGAAACACTCCTTTCTGCTTCAATCGGAGGACGCATATTTTCTATGAAAATTTCTCGGACATTCAGGCCGGTAAATGTTGTTAATACTGTTTAGAGGTCGATCATTTCTACTTCTGCAAATTCGTTTGCGACACAAAAATATTTTAACATATATTGACATTGAAAAATATTATACGCTATATTAGGGGCCAACGCTGTTTATACACACGCACACAGAGAGACACACGTACACACACACATATCAGCGTGCACAAACACTATATATATATATATATATATATATATATATATTTTCGTTCCGTAGGTTTGTTTACCCTTAAATCTTTATTATTCAAAATTACGAATACGTAAAGTGATTCTGAGAATTTAATTACGTTTTATTTTGGCTGTTCCTAAATCGGTGGGGACTTTGGATTGTTGATTTTGATGAAATATATTGTGGCTTGCAAATTTTGTAATTGTTGCTTACGAACTTTTTAACCTTTCTTTGCAATGGTCAGAAATATGACAGAGAAAGGGAGAGAGAGAAAGAGAAAGGTACAGAGAGAAAAGGAGGGGGAGCGAGAAAGAAAGGGAGAGAAGGAGGAGAGAGAAGGGAGCGAGAGAGAAACGGAGAGAAAGAGAGAAACGGAGGGAGAGAAATGGCGAAAAAAGGGAGAGACACTGTGAAGGGGATAGAAAAGGGTAGAAAGAGAGAAAGAGAAAGGGAAAGTCAGAGAGAATGGGAGAGAGAGAGAGGGAGAGAGAGAAAGGTACAGAGAGAGAGAGAGATAGGGAAGAGAGAGAAAGGGAGAGAAAGGGGAAAGAGAGAGAGAAAGGGAGAGAAAGGGGAAAGAGAGAGAGAAAGAGAGAGACAGAGAGAGGGGGAGATGGAGAGAAAGGTAGAGTAGATTTTTGCTGTTTTCATTTTTTCGTTCTAAACGCCAATCAACATGAACCTATATTCGGCATGCCTTGAATCTCCAGTTCGACGTAACACGTATTTGGCAAGACCCTAACCATGCATTTTGACAGGATTTGTAGGATATTTTACGGATCTTCACACAAAATGTGACTCAGGCTCGAATTTACCAGCAATCTAAAAAAATATATATCGTTACTAAATCACTCGCAATAATTAAATACGATTAGATACCACAGAGTCTTTTGGCAAAAACTGATTTACTCGGCCAGGTAATCATGTACATTGCCTATACATGCATTTCCGTTGAACTTTACAATCAATAAGTAAAACACAGGCATGTTTCGAGTCCATGTCGGACATGAGTTGGAATCAAACAAAACTAATGGAACGATCTAAGTGATAAATTTTGTTCGTGTCATTTTTAAAAATTCTCACATCAACCTAAGTCCAATTGAATATTACACATGTATAAATGAATATTACCAAAAATAATTTCTGTCTATATTTCTAAGATTAGGTATTGTAACTATTTACACTGTTTACATAGTTCGAATTGTTGTCCTCAACTTTGTTGTCATATTATTGATGTTTCGGTCATTGTATGCTCCGGCCGTCTTCAGGTGATTGGAATTTAGAACCGAAGCCTTTAGCTCGTCCAGCGGAATAGATTGTTCTAGTTTCACGTTCCATGCCTCTTCCCGATGTCTCAATTTCAGCTATTTACCTTTAATTCAACTCTCGTAGTTTTTATTCACCTCTGCTGTAGCCAGGAATTGAACTCACAACATTTGATTATGACAAAAGTGATGACAACAGACCGAACAATTTAAATAACAAAATACTTTGCACTATATACATTATACGGACTATTGTCCTCATCTTTGTTGCCATATTTATCACAGCGTATACTCCGGCCTTCTTCAGGCAGACCGTTCTAGTTCCACGTGCCATGTCTAATGGATGTCGAATAGGAAGCGAACCTGTATCATATACGGAACCGTGATATAGCCTGATATGAAAGTACGAGAGAAAATGGAGAATTGTAGATTTAAAAACAGTTAAATCGACATTGCGAACCGAAACTTAAATATTTGTATCTACAAAAAGAACGTATAAACATAAAAAAATGGCTTTAAATAATTTTCGGACTTTGTGTATTTCATAATGTGTGACGTCATTTGTTTACATATGGATATGCATCGAGCAAACATGAATTTACGAGAAAAAATCATGGAGAATTCTAGTATAAAAACAGTAAAATCGACCTTGCTAACCGAACGCTCCTCTATGGCTCAATCGGTAAAAGCACGTCTGGCTATATGACGGTTACGTATAGGATACAGGTTCGATTCTTATTGGAGGACGCATTTTTTCTATGAAAATTTCTCAGGTATTCACGCCGGTAAATGTTGTTTAATACTGTTTATTATAAACAAAGCAATTACTTAAATATTTGTATCTATAATAAGAATGTATAAAGATAAAAATGTCTTAAATAATTGTCCATTTCATATTTCTATGATATGATGTGTTAAAAGGACTCGCCTGGATTATACCAACGAATTACTATATATATATATATATACTGTTTATTATAAGCAGAGCATTTACTTAAATATTTGTATCTATAAAAAGAATGTATAAACATAAAAAATATCTTCAATAGTAAGTTTGAGGGGATGACGACTTACTTGGTTGTGCCAATTTCATTTCCATGAAAATTTGACAACATTTTATAAATATTACGACCTTGCATAGAACCAATGTAGAAGATTCGTCAGCTGTGACATGTCAGTGTAGAGACCTTTGTTAAGAACTGAGACAAACCACATTTGTAGGTTAATTCAAACCTTTATTTAAATCAATGTAGACTTCAATTGCCAATTCTGTTTTCCATTCTCATAACCGCTTGCCACCACAAACTTCAATGTAAGAAGTATAAAGTGTTTTACTTTTTCTATTTGAATGTGAACTTGTCGACTAGGCGAATCTTTGACTTCACAATATTACAGAGTTGCGTAACATTATTATTCTTTGGTCAGTTAGATAAAAAGCATTCTCTGATACTGGAGAAAAAGATCGCTAATCAAGTTCAGGGCTAACCTGGAAAAAAAGACAAGGATACATTTGCCATGTTGACAAAAATTACATATCGTAGATAATGTCCGAATAACTCAAGAACAGGGATCGGCAACCTTTTTGGAGAGAACGGAATAGAAATCTGTGTATTTGTCTTGGAGGAAGTCAATGAAATCAAATAAACTATAATAAATTGTCAACATCTCAGACCGCTCCGTCCAGAAGGCTAATTAGGTCTGGATTTTTAAAGAAAAAAACAAAGAATTTAAAATTGTATTATTTAGACAAAGTTTCTTATTTTACTGCAGAAACAACTGGATAAACACTAAAACAATAAAAAAAAATGTAAATTACTTACCACGAAAGAAATACAGTTAGAAATGGCAAATTATTTAATGAGGAATTTGTTTCTGTTTATTGTTCGATAACTTCTCCCCAAAATATCATTTTCGTGGTCATCACC